GGAGGTAAAGGTGGGTAGAAAAACACAAAAGACCAATGGAGCATGATTTACAACAAATCCTTTTTATTTATGATAAAACCTTTACCATCCACTTACTTCGGTGGAATTCATGAAGCAATATAAGAAAACAATAACATTATGACAAACATGGAATAATATAAGCTGTAAAACATAGCACTTATCACGCCTTTTGTAATTCAATCATTGTACAACATATCCTTTTCTCATTTACCAGCCTACTAGTATCCATGGGGGTCCCTAGGGGTCCCGCTACTCGTTAACCTTTAACATTCATAATCAGTTTCCAGGGCCGTCCCCATACCCCGTCCGGTATGGGCGCCAAAACCATAAACCTCAATACCCCGTCCGGTATGAGGGTGAAACGGGCCGTCCCCATACCCCGTCCGGTATGGGCGCCAAAACCATAAGATCTCCATACCCCGTCCGGCATGTGAGACCACAATCTCGGTAGGGTTCCCTACGGACCCGGTCCGTTCACCATCTCCCAAGATATCTAGTCAGGCTGACCCCATCATACAATTATCAGTCTACACAATGTTTCCTTTTCCCTTTCCTCAATAAGCATCATCAATTCACATTTAAATAAGCAAATCGTAATTCATGCCAAACAGACAACATACAGTATCAGTTCTTCAGTCATTCAACCCATAATAAATAAAACAGTAATATATGCACTCGAAACTATAAAATGAACACATCAAACCTCATAATGCATTTAAAGCTGTAAAATAGGCCAAATAACAGTAAATCATAAATCACACTAGACTCGGGCTCCATTAGCAACCTTAAGCAATTTCACACATGCGTTAATTCAAGAAATATATCATTTTGAACTTTAATACCGTGATAGGAAATAGGGTGAGGGGTCCTTACTTGTTTTCGGGATCCAAATACGATTCACAGTGCGCCTACAGGCCGTCCCTAATTTTCCATGAATTTTTTTCCCGGGGAACTGAAACACACTAACAGTACCTGCACGTGTTCCAAAAAAAACCCAAATTAGGCCCAGGGCCTCTTTCGGCCCAAATCGCAACTCCGGCACGGCGGCGAGTAGCCTCGGGTTGGCTGTTTTCGGCCGTTTTCGGCCGAATTCGGCCACACTCGCATCGGTCCCTGTGAGAAAACAACCCTAGGGCCCTCGGGGGGCCAAAAAAATCACGGAAAAACGGAGCTTACCGGCGGCGGCGCTCTCGGGTGCGGCGGCTCTCCGGTGAGGTTCGTGTTTTGGTGATTCGGCTCCGGTCAACCTGTAGAGAAAAGAATGGTGATCACGTTGATATAAAAATTGCATCAAACGGAGGCCGGGAAGGGCCTCGTCGGAGGCAAAAACCGAGAGGGGGCGCGGCGGCGCCGCTGGTCTTCGGCCGCGTATTCCGGCCGTTTGGCCAGGATTTTGGCTTCGATTTGGCCATAGGAGGAATCAGCGTGGAAAAACGAGTCGGGGGTATGAAATTTACCTCGATCGGCGGTCGGAAATTTCCCCGGTGCGGCGGCGGGTGGCGGCGGTCGGCCTCTGGTTCGTCTTCTCCGGCGAGCGGTAGCGGCTAGGGTTTGTGGTCTGGTGTGGGGGGTTCTATTTATAACCCCTTGCCATTTGATCTCAGCCGTCTATTTTGTTTTAATCTGGGCCGTCCGTTTTTGATTAAATCTGGGCCGTCCGATCGCGCCCACG